ATTTTTATTTTATGTGTATGCATGTATTGCCTGCACGTAGGTAAGTGCACCCGTGTTGTGCAGTGCCTGCGGAGGACAGAAGACGCTGTCAGATCCCCTTGAACTGGAGTTATGGACAGTTGTTAGCAGCCATATGGGTGCTGGGATTTGAACTCGGGTCTTCTGGAAGAACCGGCAGTGTTCTTAACCGCTGAGCCATCTCTCCAGCCCCGTATCTAGGTCTTTTTCCCTAAGTAAATAGATTTATGTGCTTAGAAAAATTTCTCCCCGATAAGATTCTTTTGTATATACTGCTTTGTAATATGCTTTTTCCCTTTATTACAACCATATGCCTGTGTGATTACTTTAAATTATAAATACTTTTCAATTTATGTTGGGATTGTGTCTACATAAACGCATTACAAATTGAAAACATTGTAAGTCAAAATGTATTTAATACTATTTAATAACAACCTCCCAGCACGGTCTAGCTCTGTTAGAGCTAGCCAGAAAGGAGGAAGCTTCCAGCTCAGTTGAAACTTAATTTCTCTGTGTCCTGAAACCAGCGTGTGGTATCTTCTGTAGCAGGGTCTTATCTTCTTGTTCTCCTGGGCAACCAAGAGCAATGACAATAGCCTGTATTCTTTGGTGAGCCTCTGGGCTCTCCCTGACTCCTATGGAAGTACCCCACGTGGCACTGGGATTTTTGTTTAATAAATTATGGCTTCTGGGAGCAGCAGGGTACCTCCCTTAAGTCTTTTTTTTTTTTTTTCAAATTATTATATTTTTAAAATATTTTTTTAAAATTTGTTTTTATTTTATGTGTGTGAGTGTATTGCCTGCATGTATGTGAGTGCACCCATGTTGTGCAATGCCACAGAGGTCAGAAGAGGGCGTCAGATTTCCCTGGAACTGGAGTTAAGGACAGTTCATAGCTGCCATGTGGGTGCCGAGAATCAAACCTGGGTTCTCTGCAAGAGCAGTCAGTGCTCTTAACCGCTGAGCCATCCCTCCAGCCCCTAAATATTATATATTTAAAATTAGCTCATAAAATTGTAGATTTCCATCTGACTTTTTTCATAACCCTTTGTTTGGTTAACTCTCCTGTCACTTTTTTGCCTCCCCCGTTCCCTGTTCCCACCCTGCTTTAACCTGTCTACCCTCAGTGCCCCCTTCTCCTGCTGCCCACTTTCATATGTTTCACTATCACTGTCTTGAGGTGCCCGCTCCACCACACAAGCCAGTGAGCCCTTTCTAGGTTCCTGTCCTTTACAAGCACTCCAAATTAAACACAAACACCTAAAAAGATTATTAATTCACTTAAAAATTGAATTAGTGAGCCAAAGATTGTACATCTGTGGACTGACTCTGTATTCTTTTCTAATAAAATTTGGATATTACCATTCATTTGGATATTTTCTAATGTGATAATAAAGCTAATACCTCCATGTTTGAATTTCTGTTCTTGCTTTTAGAAATTGAATTCTTTTTCATACTTTTCAGTCTTTTGTGTGTTTAATTTG